GCTCTTCCCACACAGGGGCACAATCTGTCCGTTCTGCAGATCCCAAGGGCTTTTTCTCTTGCCTTTGAGTCGCACCACCCTTGCCCGGATAGAAGCCAGTTAGGACAACCTAGGTGTTTGCTTCCAGGAACGTAGTAGATCATGCCAGGGGTGAATGGAGCGGGAGAAGAAAGGAAGTAAAATAGAAACCTAAGTTTCCGTGCATTTGATCGAACGCACGGAATGTATGAATGAATGAATGAATGAATGAATACCTTGACGTCTTGTGCCCCCTTGAGATATCTTCCGATTGCTTGGCATCTTGCTGACCACCCTCCAGACTAGCTCAGAGCACTTCTTGGAGTCCGCCGCCTAATTAATCATATTGCTAAGAGTCAGTTGTCTAGTGGTTTTGTGGCACCCGTTTTCATTTGCTACAGCTTACTTTGTTTTGCAAGCACTTGTGTGTGGTTCCAGCGTTGTGCCCGGAGTCTGAACTCCCCGAACCTCCCAGAGACCAGATCCGGTGGAAAAAAAAGCAAAGATTGTTTTTAATTTACAGTCTCAGGATTGGTGCACCTCCGGGCTGGGGGAACCTGCCCTGATTGGTCAGCTGCAGCTGCAGCTGCAGAAAGGTTCCCATCTGTGCTAGATACCTCACCCTGCATCCCGCTGTTATCAATAAAGCACGTCCAGAGCCCGCCATTGGCTCCTTACCTCATGGAGCTGAACAAGAGCTCCCCCTTGTTCAGGTCAGCTGTTTCTGTGGGTTTTGCCAGCCTGGTCTGGCCCCCTTTGCCCTTCACTGGTCCTTCTCTGCATCTGGATTCTAGTTCATTTCAGTGGTTAGTTGTGGGTGTCTGCTTCTACTAGTTGCTTCCTAGTAATTCTGGCGGGGTCGGGCAAGGTCGAGGGCTCAGCTGCTGAGTCAGGGGGCCTACATCTTGCTGGGTCTTTTCTGTAGCCTGTCGTGGCTGCCAAAAAGCATGGGATATCTTGTAGGATAGGTACCTGCCATATATACTTGGTTGAAGTATAGAAAAACTTCACTCAAGTTACAAATGAAGGCACTAAGAAGGGACTTGTTTGAACTGAGGCTGTTTGGTTTAGAGATGACTGAGGGAGAGGCAGAATTATAACATTGAGTAGCAGCAGGATTCCTCTGTAGTGGTCAAAACCTTGCAGAGGTGTGTCTTGAGATATAGTCTCATGTAGCCCAGAGTGGCTTTTAACTTGCTCTGTAGATGAGGATGACCCTGGACTTCTCATCCTCCTGCCTCTGCCTCCAGTGCTGGGACTACAGGTGTGTACCACCATGCAAAGTCTTACGGGAGTTTAACCCAGACTTGATTCATACTAGGTGAGCATTCTACCAACTAGTAATGAGAGAAGATAGAGAGGAGAAGCTCCAGTCCTAGGCATGTGGTTCAAGTTCAGTATGGAAAAACTGACAGTGAAGTGCTCAAGTCCACTCAAGTCCGGCTCTGTGCTCTCTGGTGTCCTGGGAGTGGGGCATGTTTTGGGTACCCTGGTGAAATACATTTGGGGACTGGAGTAGACAGGGTGAGCTGACTAACAAGGTAGAGGGATCTGTGGATTCCCTGGGCTGTTGTGGTGAGTAGGGTGCTGGAGAGGAAATGTTGAACCAAGAGTCTCAAATTGCTTCTTGGGGCCTGGGTAGGTCATCTTTGATTCTCTTTCCTGAAGTACACAAGGCCAGGTTCAAGGTAGAGATTTAGAAAACTTTGTTTTGAGTAATATTTAAATGTGTCTTGGCTGAGGGAGTATCCCTCTGTGTGGAATGGGCTTCCAAAGTCCACACCTATGCTAGGGATAACTACTGATCTATTACAGGAGGCCCCATGGATTTCCGAGGTCTCCTCACTTGACACCCACGTTCATGGGGTCTACCCACGTTCATGGGGTCTGGATCAGCCCCATGCTGGTTTCCCGGTTATCAGTCTGGGGACCAAGAGCTCCCCCTTGTTCAGGTCAGCTGTTTCTGTGGGTTTTGCCAGCCTGGTCTGGACCCCTTTGCCCTTCACTGGTCCTTATCTGCATCTGGATTCTAGTTCATTTCAGTGGTTAGCTGTGGGTGTCTGCTTCTACTTCCACCAGCTGCTGGATGAGGGCCATCGGGTGGCATATAAGTCAGTCATCAATCTCATTATCAGGGGAGGACATTTAAGGTAGCCTCTCCTCTGTTGCTTAGATTGTTAGTTTGTGTCATCCTTGTAGCTCTCCAGACATTTCCCTAGTGCCTGATTTCTCTTTAAACCTATAATGGCTCCCTCTAATATGGTATCTCTTATTTTGCTCTCCTCTGTTCTTCCCTCTACTCAACCTTCCTGCTCCCTCATGTCCTCTTCACCCCTCCTCTTCTCCCCTTCTCATTCTCCTAACTCCCTCTCCCCTCCCCCCATGCTCCCATTTTTCTCAGGAGATCTTGTCCCTTTCCCCTTCTCTGTTGTTTTGATTTGCATTTCCTTGATGGCTAAGGATGTTGAATATTTTCTTATATGTCTTTCAGCCATTTTAGATTCCTCTATTGAGAATTCTCTATTTAGTTCTGTACCCCACTTTTTAATTGGATTTGGTGTTTTGGAAACTAGCTTCTTGAGTTCTTGGTAAATTTTGGAGACCAGCCCTCTGTCAGATGTGGGGTTGGTGAAGATCTTTTCCCAGTCTTTGGGCTGCTGTTTTGTCTTGCAGACTGTGTCCTTTGCCTTACAGAAGCTTCTCAGTTTCAGGAGGTCCCTTTTATTAATTGTTGATCTCAGTGTCTGTGCTACTGGTGTTATGTTCAGGAAGTGGTCTCCTGTACCAATTTGTTCAAGGGTATTTCCAACTTTCTCTTCTAATAGGTTCAGTGTGGCTGGATTTATGTTGAGGTCTTTGATCCATTTGGACTTAAGTTTTGTGCATGGCGATAGACATGGATCTGTCTGCAGTCTTCTACATGCCAGCATCCAGTTATGCCAGCACTATTTTTGTTGGAGATATTTTATTTATTCCATTGTATAACTTTAGTTTCTTTGTCAAAAATCAGGTGTTCCTAGGTGTGTGGGTTAATATCAGGGTTTTCAACTTGATTCCGTTGGTCTACCTGTCTATTTTTGTGCCAATACCAAGCTGTTTTCAGGACTATAGCTCTGTAATAGAAGTCAGGGATGGTGATGCCTCCAGAAGTTCCTTTATTGTACAGGGTTGTTTCGGCTATCCTGGCTCTTTTGTTTTTCCATATAAAGTTGAGAATTGTTCTTTCAAGGTCTGTGAAGAATTGTGCTGGGATTTTGATGGGGATTGCATTGAATCTGTAGATTGCTTTTGGCAAGATTGCCATTTTTACTATGTTG